TCCTTAATGGCGCCACCTTCCACTCCGTTCGGGCTCCGTTTGCTCCCGAGGAACTCTGGAACTGCGTTCTGATATCGTTGGCATCGCTCGTCGAACGATTTCAGAAGCCTTAACCCGTAGCCACCGATACAGTCCCTTACCTCGTAGTATTCCACGTTCTCGAAGCAATGATTTGAAATGGAAAGCGACGTGTTCAGGGAAGCAGGCCTTCTCTTCACTGTGCCAGTCGCGTAGCTAGGCGAATCCCAGTCCACGTGGAACGTTCTTCTCTTGGAAGACATGATAGATTAGTCTTATTAGTCGACTACTTCGATGCTGATAGATGATCGATAATATGCATGATTACCGACCGATCGGCGATTGATGGAAAGGTGTCGATGTCTTTAGGTGTCGCGACCTATATCCTTTTCGTTGACTGCTTTTCGTTTGTTTTATTTGCTGCGTACGCTGCCTCGTCACGTGCGGCGTAAATACGCATATACTTGGTCCTCAGCACGAGTCCTCGTGTTTGCATGTTTCACATTAATTATGTTATATTCTAGTTCTTACATTAAATAGTAATTATAAGTAACCAATGTGTACCGATATAACTATCAGTGCTTTTTGTTAAATAAAGATGTGATTGTTGGGTCGAAATGTCGCTCGAATAGAATTTTTGATGAGTTAGAAATTTTGAAAATAATTTGCTCTAAAATATCAACTAGGAAGAGCTTCCCTAGACAATCACATAATCGATCAGTATTATTTTACGGCCGTGTCGAAGCGAAAGTTTAGCTGATGCTTAGATAATCGCGTCTTCAAGGGGATATGGCAAACGCAAGGACTCGGTGTTTGCGTCGACATTGTTGCTCTTTTGAAAATATTCTATTTTTAACGAAGAACGAAAGATCGTGCGTAATTATTCGCCTTTGTACTTTCAGTTTTTATTTGATATCCGTGTCGAAACGGAAATTTTGCTGGGACTGCGCCATTGTTAACCCTCGCTAGCACCGCGACGACAAAATTGGGATAGCATTGTGATAGCAGTGTTTACTATCGAGCCTTTATTTCCACAGAAAATCTTGCGTCGAAAAATTGGGTATGCGTTCCATAATTTACGTTGTAAAGGCAATGGTCGTAACTTCTTCGAAAACAGAGTTAACGTCAACTTTGTTCCGGTTCTGTGTTGATTTTCCTCTGACACTGTAATCAGTGATTAAAGTTTGCGATTATATGATTATAGTTGTACTAATTTCTTGTACAGTTACAATTTGAAGGCTCGTTCAGATTTGTTGTCGTTGACAGGAAAGTCATTTTCTAATCGATTACAAAGTTGAAGACTTCTCTGAGTTACATTTCCAACGAAGACTGGTTTTGTATCTATTTCTGGACCTTTGACTATATCTGAAGTTCTGTCAATAATAATATTTTGTTTACTCGAAGAATATACATTCTGAACTGCTCCGTGAATTTATCCTTCTTTGAAGAAGACTTGTTATATTCTTCGAAAGGCGTTGTCACTTAAGACATTATCCTCGAACAGTTCGTCAACATCGCCCTGACTAAAGGTATCGAAACCTTTTTTCTTCGCCTCAATTTCATCTAATAATCACGAAATTCGAATCGTTCCACTATTTGCAACACGTGTAGACCAACCTGCTCCCAAAAGGAACTTGACGAAATAAGTTCTTTCACAAAATAGGAGGAAATTGAATTCTTAGTATATTTTGCACTCGGCTATTTCGTAACAAATCACTTTCCACATTTCACTCTGCGACTCGATTTAACATAAACAATTTACCCGACGCGTGAAACTCGAATGGGTCGCTCGCTTCGTTCCACTTTCACGTGTAAACACTGGCGCGATAACGAAAACACAGGGAACGGGAGATCCTGATTGTAGGTGGATTCCTTCCTGGCGGAAACGTGGGAGGAAGTGACGAATTTCGGCCGAGTCGTGAATGAGACCGATAAGCGTATTTTCGGGTCCTTGCACTCAGACAATAGATGCACTTGCCGAGGGTGCCTCGGGCAAACTGAAACCACCCCCGAGCGCGGGACTCTCTACCCCTCCGGCGTTAGATCGCACTAGGAGTAAGTGTGTGCATACGGGAAACTCCATGGGACCCTAGGCGCGTAGGCCAGCCCCCTATCATAGCTCTGGGGCTAAAAACTAATTACATTCGGCCACGGGGTTGGTGCATGATCGTACCATATTGCAACGAGCAACACTTGTTCTTGCCAATGTGGTACATTATGAATTCCGCGAGACACGTCCGGGCAGTGATCGAAAGTAAACGTACAAACTATATTTGTACGTTTGGTGGTTATTCGAGCGGTACCATTGGTACGAGGGTCGTACAAATATAAACAGAAATTTTGTTACACAGCTTTATTGGAAATGGATAAAAATACAAAATGTTGGAAGATCGAAAGTTGTTTGATTTTTCTTCGTAAATAAACGGTAAGTTTAGCTTGGAAAGGCACAGAATTAATTTCAACGCGTAGTACTCTAGTACGAGGGTTATTCAAGTATGAACCGGAAGTTGTTTACACAGCTTTATTGAGGATAGATAAAAATATAAATGGATCGCCCGATTTTTTTCTACGTAGGTTCCTTCGACAGAAATACATTTTCGCAGATAATTTAACATTTGTCGTAGCATTTAATTTGTTAACGTCGTCAAATTCACGAATTTTATCCAGATTTATTTTCCTCATTGCCTACGCTTCGGAATTAATTTCTTCCAGTTCCTGAAAAGTCCCATTTCTGGCTACTGTGGTGACCAATGTGTTAAAGTAGAGTTATAAACGATTGAATATAAGGCTACAGACTTTATTTCTACATTTAACGTAACATCTTCAACTATAAAAAAAAATGTTCCCCGATGAGAGAGCAATCCATCGCAATTCTTTAAAATTACTAATAATAAATAAATAACGAAATACCGATGTGACCGAAGAGTTTTCGAAAACACTCTAAGAGGTATCGGATGTTTCTAATGGAAATAGAAATCCCACCTTATTCAACGAGCTCCATTTTGTTGATGTGGTAGTGGAATGCGCGTTGCTCATGAATAGCATTTGGATAAAATCTCATCAGTCTAGCCAGCAGCCAGAACGTGGTCTTGAACCCCCTCCACGCGACGAACCAGTCACCACAGGGCACATCCAACCCCTGCTTTTCGTCTGGACCGTGAAAATGGAAGGGTGGTCCAAGTACGCCCCGTGTAGCTGCATTTTCAAACATATACAAACACCGCGTTTTTGTTTGGAGATATTTTTACGCCGATTTCAGGGGAGATTGCGTGGCGTATAATCATCCCCGCGATTCTACTTGTTAGGTGTCATTAACGTAATCATTTTTTTCAAACTGACAGTACGTAATACCTTCGCGTGCAATTTGAATTTCTGGCATCGTTCCAACTGGCGCGTTTTCTTTCAACCATGGGTCATAATTAATATCCTACGCTGTATATACTCGTTACCTTTTTATTATTACGTAAGTCATATAATGTTCCTAATCTACTATCAGGTAGTACTGTGTTTATTTAGTAATTGTATCTAAGTTTAAGTTCTGTGTGATACTGTAATGTGTACTGTTTGATTTAATTATAATTTCATTGCTAATAACCGTATAGAAGGTTTGATAGCCTAATGAAAAAGAAAGTATTAAGAGGTTATTAATGTTTTTGAAGAAGACGCTTTCATTTCTTTTCATTTCCGTGTCTCGATATTCGAATAATATTCAACAAGTACCTATCATATACGCACGTCTCAATAACGGATAGGTGTATGATATCTTTTTAGCGACGTTTCGAAGCAAGGATAATATTTACGTCGCCGTGAACGAATTTATTAAATTTGACAAATGACTATGCGAAAAGTATTCGTAATCCATGTTGCGTGCACACGCTTTGAACTCGAAGGGTTCGAGTTATAGGCCGGCGTGTTTTGACGGGATAGCGTAATATACCTCAACACCATCATCGTATCAGCCAACGCAGATTGCCATTCTCCGACGATTCCATGCGGAAAATACCATAAAACGTAATCCACGAATATGGGAAACCGCAACGTATCACGAACGGAGTCGCAGAAATGAAAATGCAAAAGGCTTTCGTCGTCAAACACGAAGCATTAATTTGATTGGAACATTTTTCAAACAAATTCTTTTCATGCATGGAAGAAGGAATGGAAAATAAAAATAAATAAAAGTAATTTTTAATTACATGTGTTTCTTTTACTTTGAATACTTTGAATAGGATTTACGTTTGTAAATTAAATTACGAGTAAGTATATCTGTTCGAACTAGAGTTATGAATGATTGAATTATAAAGCTAATACGACAGCCACAGCACTCTAGGTATTAATTTAGCCTTAAACATTACTCATTTTTTAACAGATTTTATTAAATCTCAATTTCGCGAGGATTCGTTCATTTCCTGCTATCCTGACAATAATTTTTAATTGGAGGATATGAGTCATGGCGAGGACGATAGTTCGTACTCGAGGGAAAACCGAGCTTCCCCTCTGGAATCGAGTCCTCCCTAGCACAGTGCCTTCGGGAACCAAACGATCCGTGCCGAATAGGTCTTAAGTCATTGCTTTTTAGAAAACGCGAACCCTTCGTCGTTGCGTCAATTCATTCCCCTTCGCGTGGCCCTTTACCAACCCATTGTCTACTCGCAAAAATGTAGGTTTCTAGACTCGTAGGTAATAATGGAAACAATCTAATTTCAGATTCGTTAAATTTAGCACTTGTTAATGAATTGATTTCATATACAAACTTTCAATCATCTCGAAACGATCCTTTCGAGTTTCATAATTTCGATAAACTTCATTTAGATCTTCATCGTTATCTCCATGCTCCTCTTCATCGTTTTCATCGCCAATTTCATCATCCTTTTCGTTATCCTCTTCGTTAATTTCATAATTTTCATCATCGTCTTCATTATCTTCATCAAAATCTTTATCGTTATTCTTCATCATTCTCTTCATTATTTTCATCGCCAATTTCATCATCGTCTTGCTATCTTTACATCATCTTTTTCGTTATCCTCTTCATTAATTTTATAATTTTCATCATCGTCTTCATCGTCAATTTCATCATCGTCTTCATTATCTTCATCAAAATCTTTATCGTTATTCTTCATCATCCTCTTCACTATTTTCATCGCTAATTTCATCATCTTCGTTATCTTTTCATCATCTTTATCAACATCTTCATTGTTATCTTCATCATTCTCTTCACCATTTTCATCTCAAATTTCATCATCTTTTTCACCATCTTCTTCATCAATTTCGTAATCTTCTTAATCATCCTCTTTATCATATATTCATCGTCAATTTCGTTATCTTTATCGCCAATTTTATCATCTTCTTCATCATTTCCATCGTCAATTTCATTATCTTCTTCATCGTCCTTTTCATCAATTTCATCATCTTTTTCATCGTTGCCTTCATCATCTTGATCGTAAATTTCATCGTCTTCATCATCCTCTTCATCAATTTCATAATTGCCTTTAGTATCTTTTCATCCTCTTCATCCTCGGTATTGTCATGTTCATCTTCAGTATTCTCAATATCCTTATCGATATACATTCACGTGTATGATTCACATCACGGCAATGATAACGATCGTGGCGGTACTAAAAATGATGATAAAAATCGCGATATAGATGAAGAAGATAATGACGATGACGAAAACGGTGACGCGATGAAAATAACAATGAAGACGAGAATGTTGTTGAAGATGATAGGAGGTGTGATACAAATAATATGGAAAATGAGAATTTAATTAAAGATGAAGGCGTTGAAAACATATATCGTATATAATACTTGATACTGTACATATTTTTCGTTTACGTCGCAGTCCTACTATACAGGGTGTCCCAAAACTCGCGTTGGAGCCGGAAATGGGGGGTAGCTGAGACGATGCTGACCAGCAATTTCCTTTGCAAAAATGTCGGTGGAGGCTTCATTCCTAATAATTCAAAAATGAAGCCCCTACCGACATTTTTTCAAAGGAAATTTTTATTCAAAATCGTCTCAGCTATCCCCAATTTCCGGATCCTACGCGAGTTTTAGGACACTCTGTATATTGCTTCCAGCTGCACTTGTAAGGTGCTCGATCCCGCCACTAATTAACACACAGATCCGTCAAACCGCTCAAAAAACTTCAGCTCCATTCGCGGTCCAACCGCAAGCTCGTGTATCAACGGATGGAATTCCTCGGGGTCCGGAGCTTACAACTTATAATCCCAACGCATGCCGTCATAGGTTACCCGGCCGAACTCTCGTCCGAAGATTAAGCTTGCACCCCCGTGTTGCACACAGAAATAAGCGTCCCCATTGGTACCCTGCATCACCACCACCCCCGCGCTCACTCCTCCACCCGCCAAAACTCCTCTCGTCCCCCTGGAATCGGCTTAAGCTGTGCGCGCATGTACGCGTCATTTACTCCACGCTTTGCACACGTAAACGCATTGAACATTATGCAATTCCGACTACGATATTGCCGCGATCGGCTTAGCAAATTGAATCCGTGAGGCGGACAAGTTTTGACAGAACTCGACCATCCCTGTTAGCCACACCCTCTGCACGTGATTGGAATTGTGGCGAGAAACGGACTAATTGAGAGTGACAGTGTTCGAAGCTACCGATAATAGAATACATTCGCTAAAGATACGATGGACTATGGTCTGTTAGGTTGTCGCAAACTTGGACAGGTGTGTGACAATACCGAGAGACATGTATTAGATTGTCGTAAAAGTTTCTTTCGTTTTATTAGTAAGTAATACAAGCAAAATATTTTATGTTTTATGTTACACTACCGAGTTTTTACACGATTCATTATACTTTAGTACCTCTCTCCATCTCTTTAGAAACAGGATAATCTCACCTTTCCAACAATTGTATGGTTTCGTTAGTAAGATGCTGTTCCAGGTGCATTATTATTTTATTTATTGAATTAATTCTTCTAGCATGAAGAGAATTTTGTTGATGGAAAGAATAAATAATAATCACTAGGGCTATCGAGAATGAGATAGAACATCTCACAGAACATTAACAATTTGTTACAAACGACTACACGTCGCAAACGCTTTCTTTGATTTTTCATAGTCAAAGGAGTGAAAAATGGTATGAACAATTCTTCAATCCGAATGAAATGTCCTCGACGAATATTTAGACGACGATTAAAAAATTTGTCGTAAAAAAGGTAACTTCTGAGAAATAAGATTGTTTATTTATACAAACACTGTCGGACAGAACATTTGAGTGTAAGCCACGAAAGAAACAGCTATTAGATTGTCGCAAGCTTGGACAGAGGTGTGACAACCTGCGAGACCTGTGTACGTATTTACAGTACAGTGTGCAATATCGTCTGATATGCTACTACAGACTTGAAAAATGATATGTCAACCTGAAAATCGCGTGTTGGTACAATACAGGATCATATATCAGGTCGTAATGATAAAATTGTATAAGAATATTCAAGAATATTAAATTATTTGTGGTGATAGAAACGTCAACATTCAGATTATTTATAAATTAGGAAAAATTTAAGTTTAGGCAAAATTAGGAAAAAAAGTTAAAATTAGGCAAAAGTAGGAAAAAGTTAAAGATTAAAAAAGTTAAAGATATCTTTGAAAATACGAATGTTAAAGTAAAAGTTATCTGTGAAAGAAAAAAAATGTTAAAATTCATGTTACTTATAGAAATAGGAATATTAAAGTAAAAGTATTTACGAAAGAGAGAATCTTAAAGAAATAAAACAATAATTTGTCAAACGGTTTATTTCTCATTTAAAACTAATAATACTAAATTTGTTTCAATGCCATTTAATAACTGTTTGGATATTGTATTTGGTTGATGGGTCAAAACAAGCTCTTCTTTTTCTTTTTTTTTTTTGTTGCGCAATAAACATTTGTAAAATACATATATACAGGGTGTCCCAAAAGTCGGGGAGGAGCCGGAAATGGGGGGTAACTAAGACGATTCTGAACAACAATTTCCTTTGCAAAAATGTCGGATGGGGCTTCGTTAAGGAGATATTAAGAGAAAACCCCGACCAATCAGAGCGCGCGTAGACCGTTGGAGCGACCGCGGTAGCGAAGGCTACGCGCTAGGCGGCCGCGCCTGTACGCGACAAGTGACCTCGACGTGCATCGAAGGACATTGACGCTGCCGCCTAGCGCGTAGCCTTCGCTACCGCGGCCGCTCGAACGATCTACGCGCGCTCTGATTGGTCGGGGTTTTCGCTTAATATCTCCTTAACGAAGCCCCATCCGACATTTTTGCAAAGAAAATTGTTGTTCAGAATCGTCTCAGCTATCCCCCATTTCCGGCTCCTCCCCGAGTTTTGGGACACCCTGTATAAATAAAATACACGTATGTATCCCGAGGCGGAGCGGCGAATCTGATTCAACGTGGTCGGATAGTAGACGTAATTTAATTGCAGTTACAAATCGATAACATTCTACATCTTTCAATCAGTGAATTTCAATTTTTTTTAACCAAATTTTCCGAATATATTTTTAGCAGAATAAAACAAATTTAAAGGATACCATTGACAAAAAATAATATATAAAACCTATCCTACTGTACGTATTCGTGAAATATAATTATTGTTCGCAGGCCGTATTTACCGACAGTAGTCAGGGTAGATACGCTTTCGAGAAACTCGGTGGATAAAGAGGTTTCGGTTAAGAACAGGGTTGTGACTCGAATGTAATTTACCCGACTGATTCGAGAGATGGAGCTTTCGAAGCGTGGAGCAAAAGCTGCGTGAGAGGGACACGTCGCCTCTGGAGGCTAGCTCGAGCCTAGCTTATGCGCGGCGTGCTCTCACTATGGATTTGCCATTAATTCGAAACCCCGAGAAACTTTTGTCCTGCGCGCGCGCACCCCACGCGTTCAAACTACCTGCGGCTTTCCGAAAAAAAGGAGGACATCGGAGGACACCATCTGGCATAAGCAATTCTATTTCCAGAATGGTCCTCTCTTTGTCGATAAAGAAATGAAAATCGAATTTACCGCGTGGCACAAATAGCCGCAAGAGCCTGCAGATCATTGGTCGGAGACCTTTTTCGACCTTGGGTCGGATTTCATACAAAATATTCTTTTTAAAACGTTATCACAGTTAAAAGTATTCATAAAAATTAGATTGCTATGGTTGATGTTACTTGTGGCAGTAAGAATATCGAGGATGAATTTATTCGTAGAATTAAACGGAGTTGGTGAATATTTTTCAATAATGTTGCACCACATTTTAGGGAATTATTTAATAATTCGTAGTTTAAATACGAGTACTTTACCTTTAAATTGTATTTATGGTTTGTTTTTATGGTTGTTTTTATGGTTGTATTTAAGTTTTCCTGAATATTCTTACGGGAATGAAGTCATTAATATCTTACGAATTAACGAATGTCAGCTTACTATGATTACAATTTTATGCAACGAGTATATAACAGAAATTTAATTTTGAGTTTAAATAAATATTTGTACGAGGTCTGGACATTCACGGAGTGTAGCCTCTCCTTAGGTATACGAAAACGTTTAAAAAATAATAATTCATAGAAATAATATGACTGAACTTTTATATTATAACAAAATCTTTATGAATAGAAATGATAAAATTATATAAGAATATTAAAGAATATTAGATTGTTTGTGGTAATAGAAGCGTCAACATTCGGATTATTTATAAACTAGGAATGTGAAAGGCGAAGATAGCTATCTACATAAGAGTAATATTTAAGATAAAGTTATTTGCAAACGTAGGAACGTTAAAGTTATAGATAAATATAAAAGAAAAAAATGTTGAAATTCATGTTATTTAGAGAAATAGGAATATTAAGGTTAAAGGTATTTATGAAATTGAGAATTTTAAAGGAATAAAACTATAATTGGTACAAAAACAATAATTTTTCAAAAGGTTTATTTCTCATTTAAAACTAATACTAATAAATTTTCCACAATATCGCTTAATAACTGTTTGGATATTGCATTTGTTCGATGGGTCAATTATTATGACACCGTGGGTCACTGCTTGACCCGCGGGTCATAGGATAGTCGACCATTGCTGATCGTGACAACGATCTAAAACGTGATTTTCAATTCAAGGGATTAAACACAAATTCATAATACCGACAAAGTAACAAGTTTCTTTTTTATCCTGAACCCTTCACGCTTTGAAAAATATTGGTCCTCTTATGAACAAATCAACAATTTAAGATTGTCGAAAGGATAAAAAGAAGTAAAAGTGTAAAAACTTAATTTCGTTGCTGTTAGAATGAAAAGTCATTAAATGTTACCTCAGTTGACAAACTCACACAAATATATTCTGTTTAAATAATATACAGTGGGTGTAGAATGTATCCGTACACCGATCAATTTCCAAAAAAAAACTATGTAAAATTGTAATCTATTAATTTATTTTTTATAAACAATGACATTCTACGTATTTCTCGGAAATCTCTAGAATAGATAGATTACAAAAGAATAGCTATTTGTGTAAGTTGCGACTGGATTTGATTCTATAGAAAACAGGAAGAATACGGTTGATAATAATTAAGCATAAAATAAAATAGTATCAAGTGACATAGGATAGGAATAGGAAAATGGAAAAGACTGTAAGAATACCAAATCTTGAAGTACAATTTAGTTTATTGAAAAATAAAGCCTTCGCTTAAAATGTGATACAAGTAGTATTAGAAAATAGCTTTAAGAGGCGACAAGTATTATAAAATGTAAGCGCGAAAATAACATTTATAAAAAAAAGTTAGAGGGCAAGAAGATAACGCAACAGGAAATGTGCCAATAACTTTGTAAAAAGTTCACAATAAAAACAAATACAAGACGATACAATTCTATAGAAAAACGCCTCGAGCGCAAAGGGTTAACTAGCAAATGTTGTTTCGACTATGTCTATCCTAGAGATTTCCGAGAATATGTAAAATATCATTGATTATAAATAAAAAAAACGTTGAGAAGCTACAATTTCACACAAAAGTTTTTTTGGGTAATTGATCGGTGTGCGAATACATTCTAGACCCACTGTACGTGTTCGTACCCGCAAAAAGGTATTAAAAAGAGGTATTCAAACCTCGTGTTTGCCAAAACTTGCGTAACACAATGAAAACAAACATCTCGAATCTCTCGACAACAGTCCCGACGTCGAGATGGAAAAAAAAACAGGAAACGGCTCTGTTCCGTGATACGACAGGAAACAGTCCGCCACCCCGTTGCCCTATCGTGTTATAACGTTTTCGCGTCGACGAAAGGAGGGGGCGAATTTTCCCACGTGGCCGTTAGATCATGCGCATCCCGAGCCAGGGTAAGTTTTGTCCGTGAGCCGCGTTTATTGCGACCGAGTATTACCTTGACTCCTGGAGATAGGGGAATGGAGAACGGTACATCGAGGAGGAAGGGCACAGCCGGTGGATCCCGACGCTGGAAAAGCGAAAGTTGACTTTAAACTTTCAAGGGGATCGCTCTGCGTCCTATCCAGCTTTTACTGTATTTTCTTTTTTTTTTTTTATTTTTACTTTTAGCTCGTTTTTCCACGACGACCATTTCGTTTCACTTTCGTTCGTTCCTCGCGCAGAGAAATAGCATTTACTCGGCGTTAACGAATTTCGTCGAGTTTCGTGTCGCCGCTTTTAAGGGGCACCATCTTGGAAATTCCACCAAACGTGGAACGGCAGCTATTATTTAGGAGTTCGATGAACGAAAACTGTGCACTCGAAGGATTTGAGTTTGTAGCATGCGAAAATGTACCGGTTGATATAGAAGTATTTTTTGTTTTATCGACAATTGATTTTTATCCGTTAACCCTTCGACTGGGAGACGACTTTTGCTGGAAATTCTAAGAG